CCCGCCCTCCTTCCCGGTTTTCGACAAGTCCGCCCCCCCCCCGCTTGCACAGACCTAAAACGGCGCCAGCGCGATCCTCCAGGAGCAGTTGGAGCATCGCGCAGACGCTAGTACGCATGTGTGCGCCACGCGCGTGCACGAGGACGCCGCCGGCCCCGTTCCAACCGAACCGGTTGGAACGGGGCGAGAAACCCACCCCTGCTATTAGTTGGAGTAATGATCACCAAATTGCAATTGTTTAAATCGTATGCACCAAAGCATGTTCTTTCTTTTTCCTATTGTTTTTCTGTGTTTCCATTCAGCTTTCCTGCTCAGGCAGCTTCTGTGTTTTGTCAGTACTAATAAACGGGCCCATGCTTGTTTGTGTTCTGCATTCCTCCCTCCCACTTTCTGTAATGATGCGATGTTGCTTTCTAAATATAATATCCTTCACAATGTTAAAAAAAAATAAAATTCCTGTTTACAGATAGTGAACAGCAAGCAGTATGGTGTACATGCTGAAGCTTCTACATATAATCAAGAAAATGGCAAGACATTTGGTAATGAAGGAAGACTTCTTGAGGGATACAGAGCATCAGAAGGGTTTAGGAGTGAAGATGTTTCAAAGAACAGTACTGCCTTAGAGGAGAAGCAAGCGAAGGAGATTCCTACTGAATACGATAAGATAAAATTTCAAGGCCTCCGAGAGGAAGTAAATGCCAGACAGCTGATTGAAGTTAAGCTTCTAGACTTGACCACAGCTGGACAGCTCCACTCAGGGAAGAAGGCCGTTGCTGAGGTGCAAAGAGACCTTGAGATTTTTTTAACAAAGCCTACTGCAATAGCCGGGCTGTACATAGAAGCTAGCAAAAACAAGATCTCTCTTGCTTCTGCAGCTAAACAAAGAGTAATTGATAAGACATCAGTTCTGTCGTTGTTAGAAGCCCAGGTCGCCACAGGTTTTATCATTGATCCCATAACTGGTAAAAAATTCTCAGTGGATGAATCAGTCATAAGCGGACTGGTAGATTATGAATGGAAAACTAGGCTTCTGGAGGCAGAAAAGGCAGTTTTAGGTTATCTGTTTTCTGGGAAAAGGCTGTCTGTTTACCAAGCAGTGGAAAGTAGAATCTTAGAAAGGCAAAAAGGCAAAAACATTCTCGAGGCTCAGATTGCCACTGGCGGGGTCATTGACCCCGTCAGAAGCGTCCGTATTCTTCCTGAGACGGCGGTCGAGCTAGGCTTGCTGAACAACACAATGCTGAAATATTTACACGAACCTTCTAGTAACAGAAAGAGCTTTGAGAATCCCAATAACAGGCAAGCCATGTATTACAACGACTTGCTGAAATTGTGTGTGCTTGATGTAGCTAGCAGATGCTTCCTGCTTCCGGTTGGGGAGCGGAAAATCAGCACCCCATCTGCAGAAAAGATTCATAAGGTATCCGTGGTTGACATTAGCACCGGTGCGGAAATGACTTCCTACGAGGCGTATAAAAAGTCCCTGATAGACAAAACCACGTACCTCGAGCTCTCCGGCCAGGAATTTCAGTGGAAGGAGTCCACGTGCTTTGACGCCAGTGGAAACTCTTACTTTGTTCTGTCGGACCTGAAAACGGGGCTGCAGTTCAATATTGACGAGGCCTTAATTTCTGGCAAAATAGACAGAGGGTCGGTCAGTAAATACAAGGAAGGGCACCTTACAGCTAGTGAGCTTGGCGACATTTTGTTGACCAATTCCAAGCCGCATACCGACCTCCACAGTCCCATTGCAGGGGTCTGGCTGCCAGAGACAAATGAAAGAATGACTATTGTAAAAGCTTCTCGCAAGAACCTGGTGGACAGGAACACAGCGCTGAGGTGCCTGGAGGCTCAAGTCTGCACAGGCGGGGTCATTGATCCCTTGACGGGAAAGAGATACCCACTGGCAGAGGCCTTGCAAAGGGAGTTAATTGACGAGGCGTGCGCCAAACACCTTCAGCAGTGTGAATTGGTCTTCACTGGGATTAAGCACCCTTTATCAAACAGTATTCTCTCAGTCGCCGAAGCAATACACAAAAACCTTCTAGACAAAGAAATAGGCACTCGCTGCTTGGAATATCAGCATTTGACGGGCGGGTTGATAGATCCCAAATCTCATTCCAGGTTGTCAATGGAGGATGCCATCAAGAATGGCCTAATTGATGCTGTTACTGCCACAAAAACTCAAGACGATAAATTCTACATAAAAAGCCTGATGTGCCCTAAGACAAAAAAGCAATTAACCTATCAGGAAGCTCTCCAGGGCGCTATTTTTGACTGCCATACAGGGCTACGCTTGCTAGAAGCCTCCGAGCTGATCACCTCAGGTATATCAAGGCTCTATTATTCTACCTAGTAACTAAGCTAACCTGGCTGCCTTTATTTTTTTGAGACAACATTTTTGTAACAACAGATTATTCTTAAGAGTAAACAGGGACCATACCCACCCCCCACCCCCAGTTACTAGCACCGATGACATTACCTCACTGGGTAATTGAATATTTTCCAGTTTACAACGAAGTTCAGAGGCTCTGCACCAAGGACTCCCCAGATCAACCTTGAGCTACAGATATTCTCTTTTGCGGGAACTAGGTTCCATTCTGTGATAAAAGGACAAAACTCTCACATCATAGAAATAATTCCCATTTATGTAGTTGTACAACATGGTGGAGGGGAAAAAAAACCCACTCAATCCCTGAACCTTACAGCACAGTTTGGCTTTGCTTATATATATGGTGGTTTGCATACTCTAAATCTAGTATTGCTCTATGCTTGTAACCTTAGAACACAATAAAATTTAGACACGTCTATGTTTTACTGGTTTCTGTGGAAGATTTAAATTCATGCTTTTTTCCTCACTTCAATTATGATTGGATTGTGCTTCAGTTGCTGCTGTTTTCTATAAATCAAAATGCTAGCGTATAAGAAGATGAATTATATTGATAACATTTCACTTCATTCTAATCTGATTTTTGCCATTCCAGCTGAACTTTTTTTAAATTTACTTTAATATATATATA